CATATATCTTGAAAATATTGTTAAGGTTGCCTACCCCGTGGTCAAAGATTTTCCAAGATATTTTTATTTTTATGATTTTGCGATTTTCAAGTGAGTAGGGGTGCCGCCTAAAGGGTAGGTTGGGGTGGGTCAAAAAATACGTCATATGTATTCCCCCTCGATATTATAGAAGCGGTATTTTTTTTTTGATATCTTTTTTGCTTTAAAAATTATAGCCATTGTAAGTTTTCAGTGGCCCACCCTGTATAAATAAACAGAACAACATCACCTTCACGGCTTAAGGGTCCATTTCACTAGTCCGAAAAAGTAGTAAAATAAGCGTTCGGCATTTAAATAGACTAGTGAAATTTAGCTAAAATATGTAAAAAAACAAACGAAAGCAAACCCAACCAGGGGCGCTATTCTGTGTCAATCGTCGGTATCGGCAAGTTACCGACAGCTATGGGTATGTACGGCCAATGAGTGTCGTGTTGATTGTTGTTGTCATAGTTACCGATCGGCCCTATGACAGATATCGCAAATTTGTACCGACGACTCTTGGTATCTCTACCGTGAGGTTGACAAGGGCACGGTAGAGATACCGATTTTCGTCGGTACAAATTTGCGATATCTGCCATAGGACCGATCGGTAACTATGACAACAACAATCAACACATGTTTACTATATACAAATACGTACTGATAGCTGTTGGTAACTTACCGATACCGACGATTGTCGATGCCGTGTACAGAATAGCGCCCCTGGGGCCCTATTCTGTACAATCAGATATATCAATAATCAATCAATATCAATCAATCATACAATCAGATATATCAATAATCAATCAATATCAAATCAATCAATACAGAATAGCGCCCCAGGAGAGTTACGGTAACGTTTTTTACAAATCTGGCTAGGTATTTTTATACAAATAAAGAAGGAAATTAAAGATAAAGGATTATACTATATTCGTATCGTAGCACATTTTTAGATAACTTCTTCATTTTTAATATTTTAATGGTCAAACATCAACAAAATATTCATTGTTTGGACTAAATTTTCTCGAAAATGAAGACATAATTTAAAATTCCGTTACAATACGGAAATAGATTGAAGTTTTGTGATTACAGTAATATATAATTTATATGGTTTTGTAACAAATTGCTCGCTATTTTACGGCAAATTCTGAAGCTCTGCAAACCTTAATCAAGCCTTAGTCAAAGCACGTGTGTTTGGAATTTTAGGTGTGACTTAACACGACAGCAGTGGCGTAGCAATAGACTCACGGGCCTGTGTGCAAAAATTTTACCGGGCCCCCTATTACGCCTACATATTTCAATACTTATATACTAATCTGAATAATATGCACTCATATTTTAGGTTAGAAATAACATTATCGAATTAATTTTTATATAGTATTATTTATTACTGCAACACAGAATATGTAACCCAAAACATATAAAATATCAAATAAATAAAATAATAAATAAAAACAAAACAAAAAACAACAACAAAATTAACTAAATTAAAATAAACAATGTAAATAGGAACATGAACATATTAAAATTCTTTTTTCCTAGCTCTAGCATGGGCGAAAGTTGACACAATATTACCAATGTCTATTGTACGAGTAACTTCATTTTCTATTGAAATAATTTCCGTAACTCAGCTGCCTTATCGTCCCCTTAATACAACCATTAAGTAACTAGAGTTTTTAAAGTGATTTTGAGTTAACTAGTTTGGCCAGTATAATTTTTCATGCTCACAACTAACTTAGTTCTATTTCTATTCGATGGTACAGAAATCCAGTGACAATACAGTAAATTTCCTTTTTTGTCAAATTTAATGCTCTAATGAAAAATCACATATTTCCAGTTATTTTTATTTTGCAAAATAAAAAGGAAAACACAGCTACAAAATTGCACAAGAACAAGTGTAAAGTAATAAGTTATTTTTGCGATAGCGTATGCTAGTTAAGTATTTAAGACATGTGGGAGATAAGAACTTAGTTCGGGATCGCCCGATTCTGCTTGATTCGCGATAGCATGTGATAGAAATGGGAATGCGGCCCGGGCCCCCGAGGTCCCGGGCCCGTGTGCTTCGCACACACGGCATATCGATAATTACGCCACTGCACGACAGGATCGAGCTAAGCTTTAGGCTAGATTGGCTAGATTTCTGAAATAAAATATATGTTTCCTTCGGCCACACACCCGCTTTACCCGACCCCTGAGAGCGACCCGAAAGTACAGCGTAATAGACTCTTAATTAAATTTGACGGTATTTTTCTCACGAATCGAATAAATCACTACATAGGCTTTTGTCTTATTTGAGGAGCACGGTTTTTATCATTCCCCTTTATTCTGTGTGGAGAAACTCGTTCGTTTTGTCACCGAACCGAGAGGGAAAGTATTCGTGTATTCGAGGTCGTGTTAAATCACCGAAGGCAACGATTAACTCGCTAAATCAAGTTGGCGGAGATGCTGCGTGGCGCATTTTTATGGAGAAATCCGGAAGGGCACCGGAGGCCTAATCGAATTCTCTCCAATTGCTGGGAAATTTACGTTCGGAGCACGGATTAAGCTTGGACTAAATTATGTTTTAATAAAGGAGACCATGTGGATATACGCAATATAGTATTTTTTTAATTTACTTTATTACTAATTACCTCACCCTAACCGGCACTGCCTAACAGTAAAGTGAAGTGAATTTTTTGTCAATTTTGTAGTACCAATGACTGATTGACCGAATGATCTGGAATAAGAGTCTTTTAATTTCATCGATATTACAGTACATTTGTTATCTATATTTTTGTTTATTTTTTGATTTAATTATTTACTATATATTTCAATATCTTACCAGCAAGATGCAAACTGGTAGTAGAAAACAAAATTATTTAACAAGTATCACAGTTCAGATACCCAGGAATAGATATGTCTCACTACCATGATCCAGAGAAAGATTTGAGAAACCAAATAAACAGAGCAACGGCCATGTCAGGATGTCTGAGGCAAATAGTGCGGACAAACCCCTTCCCCATGCGAACACAGAGCAAAAATTAAAATTTTATAAATCCTGCATTAGACCAATAATGACATATGGCATAGAAATCCGAAAGGAAACAAATAAACCCAAAAGCATGTTAAGAGTCGCTGAAATGTCTAAGAACCATAATGGGACATTTGTCGTCCGTCCTTCTTGCCAGGTCACTTGAGAGATTTGATTGCCCATTTTTTTCACGTCTTTGGTCCACTCTATTTTTTTACGGTCTCTCTTGGTTATTCCCAGCATATTTCATTCCATTGAGCGTTGTGTGACCTGCAGGTTCGCATAACAAGATATTTTATAGAAAATATAAATCCAAACTGACACATTTTATAAAACGAGATTTGGTATGTTAGTATATGACATAATTAGGATTGATTGACGTATTCAATTGTTTTGATCACTTCCTGTTTCACCGGAAATGACCACAACTTTTGAATAGCACCCTGGGTATATTTCTACTTTATTGGATAGAAAATGACACTCTGAATATAATGACATATTTATTAACATTTTCGCATATAGTTTATTTGAAATTGTAACATACAGTTCATAACGACATATTTAGACGTCAATGACTCGAATTACCAAGTGGTGGTACCAAATTATTCGTAAAAAAATGCTTTTTCCAAATATCCTAATGAGCCACCCTTGTTGCAATTGAAAAAATTGACATATGATTAAAATTACGATTTGGGCATCTTTTAACCGGCCAGGACAAGACACGAAAAATTAGACAATCAAATCTATTTTTCCAAGGCTCCTTGATTAAAAATTAGTGTTTTTAACACAGCCATGGCACTCTAGATTGATATTTAAAAAATACAATTGAGGGGTTTCTGGCAAAAACCCCATTAGTCAAAAAATGGGTAAAATGAGTTAATGGCGCTATCCGACAGTAATTTGTTAGTCATAACGTTCCTACCAAACGAATTCGGGAAAAGTGCTATAAGTCAGCCCGTGCATATACAATCAAAAATACCGTAATTCCGCAAGAACCCCACAAGTCAAAAGTCTTAACGGCAAAAACCCCACTAGTCTGCTCCTTTGTTGTGGTTTGGTTGTTTGTCGTTCGTAATCGTTCGAACAGTTGCTAAGAGGACTTAGTCGTTTCCACGGTTTTTGCCAAAATTTCAGCAAAAACCCCACCAGTCAAACAAATTCACGCCCTTCCTAACTTAAAGATAAGAAAAAAATAAAGAAAACTAGTTTTCTGTACTTTCAGATTATAACCGGAGCTCACACAAAAAAAATGACAATTTAAATTTAAATGGGAGGAAGATATACGTTTTTTTAGTTTTTCCAAATTTCGAAATATCTGACTAATGGGGTTTTTGCCAGAAACCCCTAATTTTTTTTAAAAGCAAAAATGTTAAAAGTTGACATATGATAATATGTCATTTTTCATCGAATAAAGTAGAAATATACCGAAGGTGCCATTTAAAAATCAAAAGTTGTAGTAATTTCCTGTGAAAGAGGAAGTGACCAAAAACATTTGAATACGTCAATCAATCCTAATTTATGTCATATACTAACGTAGCAAATCTTGTTTTTTTATTTAAAAAAAAAATAGAAAAGTTATAGATGTGAGCCTCTTTTAAGACGCACCCGGTATATGTTTTCAAAAATTCTCTTTATAATTTTATCTCATACTGGGACGGAAATAATGGTAAAGTCAAAAAGTAACACAATACGGGTACATCAAAGATATATCAAACCTATATTTAATATTGAATGAGTTAAAATATTTTATCTCAAACAGGAATATTGAAATTGGAACAGGTTGCAAATATAAAATATCCAAACCAAAGTTACAAAAAAAACTTGAACATTACCTCGCTGATTTAATATTAAACATTTTGTGCAATTGATCTATAGAATATTTCATATTTCATTAAAATATATGATATTTGATTTTAATAATTTAAAATATTGTATTATTTTCCAAAATTAATAATATATTCTTTTGTTTCAGTATTGGCTGGAGTTGGAATAGACTTTTTATATCATCAACGATACCCTGGATATTATATAATGTAAGTAATTAATATTTTAATTTAAGTTAATTATGTAGGACTTTAAGGACGTTTCCATAGAAAAATGTTTAATTTAATATTGTTTAGATTAATATTGTGTGTTTCTTTGCGGTCTTAAGCAACTACAAAGTATGTATTTTGTTTATCCAACTAGAAAATATGTATTTCATTTATGCAGGGTGGCGCACCTCATTCGCCTCGGTTGATTATACGAAAACGGAAAGTTGTAGAAACAAAATATTTTATGGGTATATGTGGGAAGACAATATGCATAATTTAAAATTATTTTGAAATGTACAGGGTGTGTCAGAACTAAGATACATACCAAAGTTATATTTTTTCTTATGGAACACCCGGTATTATATTTCATTTTTGGATTCCTGGACCCAAAAGAAGTTATTTATTATAGGGGTTAAATATGTTTAAAATCTTTGGTTTTTGAGATATTTCAAGATATTTAAATTTGCATGCTACATTAGAATAGATTATTAACACCCTGTACATTACTTTTCAGAATTAATTATTGTGCTGAGTTTAAAGGTAAAGAAATAAACTTTACTTAAAAATGGCATTGCTTCCTTAAATTTATACAGGGGTATCAAAAATTGCTGATCTATTTTAAAGATTTATTTTATATAAAAACTTCGTTATTTCAAATGGAACACCCTGTATTTTTTTTAAATAAACCGAAGCAGATTCAAATGCTCTTTCAAACTACATTAGGGTTTCCTATACCTATCTAGCTCAGATTTTGAATACAAAGCGATTTTTAAATAAAATTTCAATCAAGATGGCTGGTGTCGCCGTGGCAATTTTCTAGTGACAGTTAGTAACTATTTTCAAAGTCAACATTAGTTTATGGACATTATTATTTATAATTTATAACAGTTTAGTTATATTTACCTAAATAAATTAATAAGTAAGTATTAATTATTTTATCAAGTAAAATAAACCAATATCTGCTGGAGGAACGAATGGATATGTTTGTAGTAATTTTATTTTGTGAGGAAAATTGCTTCTTGGCCTCAAGAGCTTATGCTCAAAGGTATCCAAAAATAGGGATCTTCCTGATAAGCGTTCCTTTGAAAAACTACTTTTCCTATTTCGCAGAGCTGGTAATGTGGTTTATAAAAAATCTGTTAGGCAGAAACCTGTCGTTGGAAGCGAAGAAAATGAATTTGCCGTAATTGTCTCTTTTATAGAAAATCCATATATCTACAAGTAATCGTAAAATAAATCAAAAAACTACTTCTTCGTTTTTCTTGATAGAATAATAAATACATATTATTTATTAAACTATTGTAGCTAAATTAAATAAAAGTAAACTGGTATAAATTTAAATAAGCCCAGAAAATAATTTCGATTTTGAAAATAGCTACTGTCACTAGTTGCCATGACGACACAAGCCCTCTTGGTTGCCATTTTATTGAAAATTTGCTCTTTATTCAAAATCTGAGCTAGATAGGTATAGGAAACCCTAATATAGTTTGAAAGAGCATTTATATCTGCTTCGATTTATTATAAAAAGTATAGGGTGATATATTTGAAATAACGAAGTTTTTATGTAAAATAAATCCTTAAAATAGATCAGCAATTTTTGATATCCCTGTATAAATTTAAGGAAGCAATAACATTTACCAGTAAAGTTTATTTCTCTACCTTTAAATTCAGCACAAGAATTAATTCTGGAAATTAATGTACAGGGTGTTAATAATCTATTCTATAGTAGCATGCAAATTTAAATATCTTTAAATATCTCAAAAACCAATGATTTTAAACATATTTAACCCTTATAATAACAAATGCCTTTTTTTGGGCCCAGCAATCCAAAAATAAAATAAAATACCCCAAAAGTGTGTTCCATAAGAAAAAATATAACTTTGGTATGGATCTTAGTTCTGAAACACCCTGTATATTTGAAAATAATTTTAAATTGTGCACATTGCCTCCCCACATATACCTATAAAATATTTTGTTTCTACATCTTTTCGTTTTCGTATAATCAACCGAGGCGAATGAGGTGCGCCACCCTGTATATAGTTCATATCAAATAAACTTTTAGTCGCGTGATGCACAGCGTTGCCCACTTTTACATATTTTCTTTTAATCAAAATATTTTAGGAAACAAAAATAAATGAATTATAAATAAATAAACAGTTATTATTTACAACAAAACTCACCTCCTTAACAGCGCTTAAGGGACTTAAAGGGCCGTTACTCCCGCTTTCGCGTTCAAAATATTTTAATAAAGTTGCGATGAGTTTTTACGGCTATTAAGCTACCTTGTACACTTCGCGCTAAAAGGGGTTGTAAAAAGAACAATGTTCGATAGCAAGGTCTGCTAGTAAACATTTTTAAGCTGAAAGATATCATCACACTATTTATTTACACCAAAAACTCGTAATAGAAAACTAAAGTGTCAAAACGAATGACAATATCAGGAATTAAATAAATAAATGTGGCAACTTGACATTTTTTACAGCAGAGCTACCACGTGAATCCCCAGCGGGAAATTTAAATTTCCATGGTTGGCAACAATGACTTTAAAAATCGCGCCTTCGATTACGTAACTAAAGGTTCAATTGGTATAAAATATATATTTTGTTTATTGCTAAAGCAAACAATTATAAAGCAACAATTTTAACAACTGACAGTGAAGCTTCTGACCTTATGTGATTTGTAAAATCATTATTATCATTCAGAAAAAGCAAACTTTTTGACATTGTACTAGCAACTACATTCTGATCATTAAATTAAAAAGAAAATTCCTATATTATATGGATCGTTCGATCAATCAAAACTTTGACTGAAGCACTCAACAACTAGAGTTCCTTGTTTATCTTTTGCTACAATGGTGAATTGATACACGTCTATACGTGCAGTAATACAAAGCATTTATTGAGTAAATAACAGAACAATTCATCGCCGTATTGAGATGCAACATAGCAAACAATGATAAATTAAGACGTGCTCTTCTCTGTATGTATCTCGCTGCAAATTTCATTAGTACATAACGAATTTAAAGACATCAACAGTGAACTTTGTTTTATACGTTTGTTGAGTACATAGAAAATATTGACATAATTTAAACATGCTTTGTTAGTTTACATCGTCGGTGAAATGTGATAAACTGCTAACTCCATTATTCCTAATTTTCCGAGAGAAAATAAACGGCACAAAAATATGGTACACATGTAGCAAGTATTTTCAGGCGTTAATATGATAATGAGATAGCGATAATATTTATATTGGGGAACAATAAGAATCAATATTTCGTTAAAATTTTACATAAAAATGATCTATTAAAAGTGTTATTTACTTAAAATCAAAAATAGAGTTAGCAGGTTATCACGTTTCACTGACGATAAGTAGTCAGTTTTTTTATATATACAGGATTATCCTTTATCCTGTGTCCAATAATTAATAAAAGACGTTGGCTATAACTCGGTAACCGTTACTGATAGAGCTTAAGAAGAAAAATATGGTATTTTTGGCTCTATTCTTGGAGTCATAAATTGTAGGTACTGTAATGACATTAAGGTAGTTGTTTCGAAATTCTTCAAATAATGGGGATTTTTTTAATCAAGTTATATGACTTTTACATCACAATTTATTTTGTACTTATAACATATACGGCATTGAATAGTGAAATCAATAATAACGTCTCCAATCTGAAAGTCGGATTACCATTTTAAAGAGAAAAATAGTGAATATGGCAAAGTAGAAAATTATTTTCTCTCCTTATGTCAATAAATCCTCAAATTTTAGGAAAGTCATACAAGGTTTTGTTCTCCTCTACAAAATTGCAAAGTTAATTCTCCATTCCGACGTTTCGAATTCGAGACACCGTCATCAATTTTGTAAATATAACTACGGATTTAGATTTTTTGTTTCAGTATTATGTAATGCCCTTCCTATTAAAGTCATAGCTTATGAATTTATTTATTTTGAGGAAATAGCCACTTAAAAAAAATCGGAACAACGCAATCTATTAGCCAGTAACATTTCGAGCATAGTGTAGAGGGTCTTTTAAATGTTGTTTCGGGAGAGTTGAATATAAGGGAATGTTGAGTTATTGAATATTATTGCACCCAACAAGTACGTAATTACGCCTGTCTTTACTTGTTAATATCTTTTTCACTTAATTTTTACTACCCGATTCAGCGTTACATCACACAAACCTCATACCTGAGTGTTTAGTAGTTTCAATAACTCCGCTATTAAAAACTAAAATACTTAAATATTATAACAAAGCCACGAGTTTAATATTGTTTTAATGCTATCAATACCGGAACTGCGTAAAATACAGAGCGAAAGCTTCCAGTTTCTGCCGTATTGAGTGCTGCGGTCTGAATTTTTAAAATCAACTGGAATGCACCAAGTCTATATTTTTGATAATAGATAAAAATGGCAAGAAGCAATAAATTACGTAATTAGTTGTGTAGATTTTGTTTTGTGAGGAGAAAAAAAATCTTGCACCCATAGTTATTAGTTGGCGTCAGTTGGAGTCTAAAGTGCAGATGGCCACTGCTTGCAGCGTTGCCAGTTTTCACCTTTTTGGCACGTTTTGAAAGAAGAAAATACAAAAGACATGAAGATTACGATACTTACGAAAAAAAAATTAGATAAATTCTTGCATCTAGCCGGACCGTCAAACTTTACAACCCGCAGTTCCGCATGCGCATAAACGATAATCGGTCAGGTATTTCGCGTGCAATCTAAAAAAACTTACCCCCAGAGACTAACCAACGCAATCAAAATACCCCTACTAGACACTTTTAGTTTCACCTTTCGATAGAAACTAGTTAACTTTTTTTATACGTTACTTTGGACACTGTAACGTACCACAACACACCTGGGGTGCAAGGGGTATTGAAGCGATACATATAGCCTAGCTTACCCAAAAGTCAACCTCACCTTCACGTGGTGCACCCTGTTTACACAAACGAGGCTCTGACGTCCGAGTATAGGCGGCATAACCTTATACAACCCTCAGACCT